CAGCACGTTATTCACAGGAAACTCACTGGCCTTCCCATGCTACAAGCCTGATCCGTGAACTATTTGGGAAGCGAGCACTGTTGTTTTTTGGGGGGCAGCGGCCAATGTACCGGCTCCCCAGGATCTGTGGATCCAGAGCTAACGGTGGTGCTGTTCACCCGGGCCTGTGGGTTGAGTGCATTGGCACAGAATCGAGAACCCAGCTGAGGGAGTCTGCCCCTCGAGACTCCTCTGGGCTCTTGCCTCAGGACTCTGCCATCGGGGCTCAAGAAGCAGAAGCAACAGCCAGACCCTCAGGTGCTCCTTCACAGTCGAGGGGCAGGAGAACGGCCAACTTTACAAAAAGAACTTGGGAGTCTCTCTGGGGTCAAGAAAACAGGTTTCCCCAGAGGCTACCCTCGCCCTCCATTCCGCCCCCTCCATACCTGGGACGGATGTAAGCACTGCTGTCCGTGCCCTGGGCGGGCGCGATGGGTGCATCCCCGGGCAGGTTGAGGAAGATGAGGTAGAAGGCCACAAAGTGCACCAGGAGGCCCAGGAGCACCACGGGGTTCCTCCCAAAGCGGCTGCTCTTGCTCAGCAGGCCGAAGAGGCCGCCCCCTGCAGGTCAAGAGTAGGGGAGGGGTGGAGGAAGTTAGCCTGCCGCTCTCTACTGGAAATATAACAAAACAGAACGCCCAACGGAACCACCCCTTTCCCTTGCAGTACAACACTCCTTTTCAGTCCTATCAGTAGGGATGTCCTGACTCAGGAAGGAGACTAGTTAGAGCCCAGAGCACCCCCACTCAAAGGCCTCAGGAGTGGTGGGAAGCCACCCCACTTAGATAAACAAGGGCACACGGGGCTTCCAGGCTGGACGGAGGGCGGGCTTCCCCCACAGTCCTTCACAGCCTCCTGGGAACGTCTTGTTCTTTTAAAGCAAAGCTTCCTTTATAAATGAAGGCCGATCATGACATTGTTGGATATGCAGAGTCAACACCTCTGAAGGCTAGTGGTGGGGGTGCTCCCCTCTCGCCAGGGCAGGGGTGCTCCCCTCCTTGGTAGGGGCAGCTGGCCAAGGTCAGAACCGGAGAGGGGGGCAGCCTGCCCAACACGGCTCGATAGCAAGACTGGAGAGGCTCACGTAGGGCGACTACATTCAGGACAGCATGCTCGAGTTTCACAGGCAGGTCGCCCCAACTCTATTCCAACAAGGTAGCCCTAACAAAGCAGACAGCGGTGCACCGGGCCCAGGAGGAGAACATCGAATGAACAGTGTCCGCCGCCAGGAGAAGCGGAAATGGAACTGTGTCCCCCCCGTCTGCAACTACGTTTTTCACGACGGCCCAGGAGCGCAAGCCTCCGGAAAGTGCCTCCAGAGCCGAGGGGTCACCAGAACATGGCCTGTCCATACAGGAGTCCTTGCACACCCAGGAAGAGGCGCTCTGTTGGGGGCACGTCCTATTCGCACAAGCAACATTTGTGGGACTGACGGGAACCAACGCGTTGCAGGTGTTCGCGCACGTCATAGTGGAGTACAGGTGCTGAGCTGAAGGTAGGGGTCTCGAGACAGGCACCGGTGTCGGTATTTTCCGTGGGAAACTGGGGAGAGACCCCATGTTTATGTGTATAGTCCCACAGTAAATTGTCTGGCAAAGCCTTGATGGTCATCCCATGAACGATGACCGCAGAGAAGAGGCCACCTGCTAGCTCCAGAGAAGACACACGGAGGGGAGGAGGAGGGAAGGCAGAGGCAGCTTGGGGGGTGGGGGAGGCGGGCACTGCAAGGTTCCAGTAGAGCTTTCACAGATGGATTGGTGTTTTTTAAATGCAAAGTCTTAAAAGAAAAGAAAAATTTTTAACCAACCTAGAATTTCTCCAATGCCGATGAAAATTCCAGAAAGTCCGATAAGGCTTTTCTCTTCCGTCCCAAATTTATTGACGGCTCCAATGCAGGTTCCATACACACCGGAGAAGAAGGTCAATTCCAGACCTTTAGGAAAACCAACGGGATTGAAGCTGACGTTAAGTCATTCTTTCCCGTAAGATGTGAGCCATTTATGGGCAAGACAGAACTCAGTTGTAAATCCAGAGACAGCATCTGGATCAATGGCTGCGTGGAGGTGTAGCAGGGGAGGGGGAGGGGAAGGGAGCACCAATACCGATGAGCACACGGATGGAAAAAAGGTCCTAAAATTGATTGTGGTGATGACTGTACAACTCTTCTTGATGTGACCGAACGACCGATGGATTGTATTGTGTGTGAACCATGTGACGATGAAACCAAACTGCAGCCAGCCAGCCGGAAGTGCTGCTCAGGAGGCTGAGCACAGGGGAGTCCAGCTCAGGACGGCAGTCCCTACACCCCATAGAGGCAATGAGAACAAAACCCACCTCTCAAGAGTGACCCTACAAGATGGCAGAGCTGCCCCTGGGGTTTCTGGGGTGCATACAGGGTGTACTCCGATATCTCACTCTTTTATAAGGACAGGGTGCGGGTGTCTGAGGTTACATATCTTTATAGAAGCAGAACGTCCCATCTAACTTCCAAGGAGTGACCGGTGGGTTTGAACTGGGGACCTTAAAGTCACCAGCCCAGCCTGATAGGAGCCCCGGGTGTGGGCATGGCTAGATATTGGGTTGCTAACAGCCAGGTCAGCAGTTTGTAACCCCAGCTGCCCCAGGAGGGAAAAGATGAGGCTTCCCTACTCCTGTCATGAAACACAGTCTCGGAAACTCCACCCTCACCGACTGGCTGGCAGTGAGTTTTGTTTTAGTGTTTCTGAAGGTGTACTTAAAAAAAAACCATTTTATTGGAAGCTCTTACAGATATCGGAACATTCCATAGTTCAATCACACCAAGCAGGGTTGTACAATTGCTACCACAGTCAGTTTCAACACATTTTCTTTCTTCTTGAACTCCTTGATATCAGCTCCCCTTTATCCCCCCACCCCCCACCCAAAGTTTCCGTTTATCTTGTTAAAAAAACGCTGTCACTCTGTGCTGGCAGAGGCTGGGTGGAGGCTAGGAAGTGATTCACATGGCTGGGATGTAATGAACATAAACAGGGGCGTGGACACTGGTGTGCCCACTGTCCCAGTAATGGCTGCCCTGCAAGGCCAGTCGTGCTACCCACCGTGTCTTAAAAAAGCGCGATCATGCTTAAATCAATCCCCCTTCCCTCGACAACTCCCAACGTGGACAGCAGGAACTAGCAGAGGGCCTCGAGTCCGACTCCTTCATGTGGCAGAACCTTCACTGTACAATTCAGAGCTGTTGAAGGGTTATCCTCAAGCCTGGCAGTGCAGTGGTGAAGCTCCCCGCTTCGAACGTAATGCTTGGCAGTTCAAACCCAGCCAGCGGCTCACCAGGAGGGAGACCTGGAGATGCGCTCCGGTCAAGACGCCAGGGGCAGCGCCACTCTGTCATGTGGAGTCGCTGTGACTCACTCATGGCTGCTTATTCTGGAGACACTGGGCGGTGCCAGCAGTGAAGGCTGCTCCAGCCCCCAGGGCACCCCGGGAGAGAGACATGGCGCTCCGACATATCGGCCTCTGAGACCCTGGGGCCCAGGAGTCTGTGCACACGGAGGCACCAGGAGGTGGGGCTGACTGACTTCTAATAAGATGCTGCACCTGGGCCCTGCTTCACCCTCACCACCTGAGTGTCCAGCGGGTATCAGCTCCCCTCTCACCAGGTGGCCACCCTCAGAGCTCAGTCTGTTCAAAGCTACAGGGATTTCCTGTAGTGCTCCATGGGCCCGCAAAAGCCCTAGGTACCCGTGCCTGTGGCAGAGGACCCTTAGTGAGATGGACTGGCACCTTGGCTGCAGCCATGGGCACCAAGCCTGGCAATGACTGTGGGGATGGTGCGGGGCTGGGCGACCGCTCTATCTACTTTACATGAGGCTGGTGGGCGGCAAAATGGACTGGGTGGAACCGAGCAACAACCAAGTCCGGACTGAGCCTCCTCCCCCCCAAGTGAATGCCTCATCCCAGTTCTCATGTCCACGTATAGAATCCTCCCAAGAGTGGTCTGGGGCTGGCCCATGACTCGCTTTGACGGCAGCAGAGTTGCTGGGGCAGTTCCAGGCCTAGGCCTGGGCCTGGGCCCGGGCCTTCCTGAGATCTCCTAGTTTCTCCGTCTGCCCTTTCTGGAGTCCTTCATCAGAATACAGGTGGTCTGGCTGTCCTGCCAGGTCAGGAGGGGTCAGGCAACAGCCAAGGTCTGAGGCAAGCTGAGGCAACAGAGAAGGAGAGCCCAGCCTTGCAGTAGATCGGGGCACAAGACTCCCTTGGGAGGCCCAGCCTCCGTGGCCTCTGCCAGCAGCCACATAGAGCCCCAACTGACACTAGCCGAAGGACAGCCCAGCTGAGGCCAGTCCTGCTCTGTGAGCAGCTGTTTCAGGTCCTGATTCTAGCAGGGAGCAAGAGGAAACCAAAGGGGCAACAGCAGCACCTACCTGTATAGGCAGTTGGAACACTAAGAAGGAGCATCTCCTTGGTGACACACAGCTTAAGAGACTTTTCTGTGAAAACAGCAAATTCAGGAGCGTGGAATTAGATTTGAATTCATGGAATAAACATTCTAAAGCGTCCCTTCAGCCAGAATGTGCTTGGGTCAAGTGTCAGCAAACAAATGTTTTGGGATGGGGGGCTAATGGTTCATGTTCAAGTGCTTATGGTGTGGACTCTAGAAGTGTGTCTGTCTCCCCACAGTTCAAACATATTCTAGTTTCCATCTCCTCCAACACATGCTCTCGCAACAGAGAGAAGAAAAAAGCAAACTCACACAGAACAGCTCCTATGTGACTGCTAAAGGAGAGGGCTGAAAAGGGAGTCCGCGCGTTGGCACACGGCAGACCCCTCAGCAAGTATCAAGGGGCAGCTTCGAGGCCGAATCAGGGGGGCAGGGCCGTGAAGATCCAGATGCTAGGACATCGCTTCCTTGGTGATCTGAGAACCGGGACCGTGAGCTCTGCACCTCTGATCATTACCCTGACCACCTTAATGCCTAGCTGTCCTCTGCTGAACTGAGGTGAAGAGATCTTGATGGAAATGGCACCCTTAAAAATGGTACCAAGCAAAAAAAAAAAAAAATGGTACCGAGCCGAGCGCTCGCCCACTGCACCACTGGCGACTCCCCATGTGCGTAGCCTTTGAGCCAGTGAGCTGCACAGCACTCGCCTCCCAGGTCAGAAGAGCTGTCATGTTAAGGGAAACATCACGGATCACCTAACACGGAGACATCTTTCCTTCCTCGCTGTTTGGATGCTTTGAGTCCAGAAACCAGCTCCAATGTTGGCACCACTTTCCATAACCGATCGCATGTTTTCTACTATAGAAATAGAACATCTGGGCCGTCGGCATCATCTCTTGTAACAAGATATGCCTGGCTCCCAGGTGGACATTCAAATGACGTTTCCCTGGAATGCACCCATCCGAGTCAGGGCCTGTCCTATTAGAGGAACTGCTAGGTCAAAGGTTGCACACATTTTTCAGGTTATGGTAAGCCACCTCTCAGGGAGCAATGAAAAGCTGTATTCTTATCGGCAGTGTGGCCTTTGGCATGTTAAGTCCTGTGACACTGGGAAACATGTTATCTTTTAAAGTGCAATAGGGGACTTTAAAATCTGCTTATCTACTTCAGTGATACATATACTTTTGGCTTGTGAAATTTCAGAGTTTTGCTCTGGATCATGTCTATATTTTTTTGTTTAGTTTTCCCTAACAGCTTCTTTTTTGTGCATCTTGCAAGCATTCCCCAGGTGCTCCTGCCTCTGTGGCTTCTTGGTGATTTGGACACACTGAAGTTTCACGTTTGGTTCACCCAATAGTAGTCGCTGAACTGACCAACGTGAAAAGGCTTTCCCTGTCTGATGGTCGACTGGTTTTGTGTTTACGTTGCACCCTCTACCTGCAGAGGGCAAGGGCAAAGGCGGCAGTGGCCCCCACAGTGCTGGGTCTCAGACACAGAGTACTTACTGAACGCAGCCAGCGCCTTTGTCACATTGTCCGGGGCAGACCTGATGGAGGAAGGAAAAGAAGGAAGTGTTTCCCTGAAAACGGAAGAGAGAACAGCAGCCCACCACACCCCTGCAGTTCTGCACAAGCTCGGCCCACTAGATGGTCTCTGGGCCAAACTGCAGTGGGCCCTCGGTAGTCCCTGGGAGCCAGGTTTTCTGTGCCAGTAAGGCACCTCTAAGATATGGTGGAGTTTAGCCTGTCATCCAGGTCACAGCTTGATGACCTCTCTTGGAGGTCCGACCAAGATCAATGGCTCTCTGGAGGAAGGGAGCCGCACTGCACCGCACCCCCCACCCCACCGCCACTGGCTGAGCTACTCTGAGGCCTTCCAGAGCCCTGGAGATGCACCCACCACCATTAGATCCACAAGACTGCACCCACTGGCCTGTGATCCTCCTGCATTCTGCATCATTGCTTGTGGCTGCGTGAGTCTGAAGAGGGACTGAGGGGCTTGAGTTGGACTGGGCTGGGATGTTATCCTGATACACAATGACTTCTTGATATGAAGCTCTTCCTTACACATCGATGAGTGTCTCTGGGTTTGTTTCTCTCGTCCACCGGCCTGACATAGTGCCCACGGCCTCCCTGCACAGCCCAGAGACTCCAACCCACAGGCAGCCTGATTCCCAGCTGCTCCTTAAGGGACAGAGTGGCAGTCTGCTTCTGTATGGACCACTGCTTTCTGACGCACAGCAGCCCTCCATACGGCAGAAGGAAACGCTGCGAGGTCCTGAGCCGTCCTCACCACGGGTCACGTGTGAGCCTGTGGGTGCAGCCACGCTATCCAGTCATTGCTTTGAGGACCTTCCTTTTTTGCATGGATTCTCTTCGCTACCAAGCGTGATATCCTTGCCCAGGGACTGGACTCTCCTGGCAACTTGTCTAAGTACGTGCGACGGAGTCTTGGCACCATCGCTGCCGTGCAGCATTCGGGCTTACTTCTTCCAAGACAGGCCTGCTCTTGTGCACAGTACTGTCAATGCTCTCCACCAGCACCAGTGCGCGCCACTGTGTCTGTCCTTCTACATGCTCCTCGTTCGCAGCCTGGAACCCGATGGGACATTCCACCCCGTCCTACAGTGTCGATGGGTGTGCAGTGACTGGGTGGCGACAGGCTTGGCTTCTTTTCTGAAGTCTTTCTTTCATGTTCTGAGAGTGGACCGTGATCCTTTCACCTGACATTTAATTTGGGCACATTTCTCAGACACAAAACTTCAGGGGAGACAGAAGCATCCTCTACCCCACTATTTTCACTCGGCAAAAATAATTTCGGAGTGCCTGGTTCCCCACCACTTCCCCAGGGCACGTCTACTGTCCTGGACGGTCGCTGTGCGTCGGAATCGACTCGACGGCAGGGAGTTAGTTGCGTAGCTTCTACTCTGTTCAGCTGCTCTTCCCTGGACGGCCCTGCACACTGGAATTGAGACTCCAGTTTTCTGCTGCACTCTTGCTCTGGATCACGCCCAGCTGCTTTTACGGCATCTCGCAGGCATTCCCCACACGCGCCTGCCTCTTTGTACCCTCTTTTCCTTAGCAACACGCGTGGGCTCCCCAGACCAGGTCTTACATGTGGAGGTGGGCGTCATGTGGATGACCAGGAGGGTAACTGACAACATCTTGACATGCCTGCCCAACCATGGAGAATCGGGGCCCAGCGAGGCAGGACACAGCCTTAGCCAGCACAGCCAGAGTTCCTGAAAGCGCGTAGAGAGCAGGCCCTTTGCCAAGCAGGGAGGGAGTGTAATTCCCTTCGTCGCCTGGAGGGGGTGCAGTAAACGGAAAAACCTAGGCTGTGGAGTCCAAGTCCGAACTTGGCTGCTCATTTGCAGTGAGTTTTGGACAAGCTACTCCACCTCCTCGTCCATGAAACAGGGACACCACCACCCACCTCTCAGGGCTCAATGGAATCATGGAATGTAAGTGTAGATGTTCAAGGCCACCAAGATGCAAATTCACTTTTGAAAAAAATGGAATGAGGGGGCTTCAAAAAATTCATGAAAAAATAGTCTCTTTCATGTGCATGTTTTCCATGAAATTTTGGAAGGCCCCCCCTCAGATTCCTACATGGCATGAATTGAACTGGGTCCCTAAAACACACATGCTGTAAACTCCGGCCCTTGTATTTAAAGACAGTAGTCTGGTGGTGTAGTGGTTTGTGCAGGGCCTGCCAACCGCAAGGTCAGCGGTTCAGAACCACCAGCTGCTCTGTGGGAGGTGAGCCTCCTTTCTGTTCCCATGAGCCCCCAGGGCTACTTCGGCCCTGTGCTGTAAGGTCACTATGAGTTGGACTCAACTCAATGACGGTAATGAGTGTTGTAGGGTTTCAATCTCTCACAGCGGAGCTGTGACCCCATGGAGCGCAGGGCTGATTTGTCTCTGCTGTTAATGGGAAGGAGCCCTGGGGGTGTAGTGGCTATGTCTTGGACTACAAGATCAGCAGTTCGAAGCTGCTAGTCACTCTGGCAGAGTGAAGAGGCTTCCCACCCTCGCAAAGGGTTACACATCACACAAGCAAACCCACCGGCAGGCATCAAGTCAAGCTGCTCTTGGTGCCCCCGGCGGGTTTCCGAGACCCCGTCTATGGGAGCGGAAAGCCCAGGCTTTCTCCCTCGGAGCTGCTGGTGGTTTCCCAGAGCCCAGCTCGGATCCGACAGGGGCAGTTCTACCAGGTGGTGGCTGTGAGGGAGTTGTGTTAATGTTAATGGGATCTTAATCAGAGAAGGGTGTGTCTTATCATCTCAACCCCCTTTGAGATACACAAGGGCAGGCAGACCGGAGGCCTGACACCAGGTGAGCATCACCAGGGACCTTCCTCAAAGGAGATTCTGAAGGAGACAGAGCTTTTCCACAGGCAGACAGGGCCCTCCGTGCAAACAGCACCCGGATTCAGACTGGTAACACACCCTCCACTTGTCGTATTCCTGTGCGTCCCTCCGTTCTCAGAGCTACTGCTGTATCCTCACGTGGCACTGCTGCCAAAAAGGAGTGGCCTTATGTGACTGACACCAAACGGCGGGGGAACGTCTGGAAGGCAGTGGGTGGCTGTGGTCAGTTCCCACGTGGCTCCATGTCAGGAGCCACGTCACATGCGTGATTACTGATGTTGCCGTGCTCGGAGGCTCACGCCCACCCAGCTGATCCCTGCTTCTGACAGCCTGCTCTGTGATGAGGTTGGGATAGAGAGATGACCCTTGAATCGCTGCCCCCGGGGCTCCGTACACAGGGACTTGCAGCTACAGAACCAACCACTGGCTGGCCAGCGGAGCATTGGCTGCTAACTCATCACTGGAGATAACGCATTGATCTGTGCAGTTTTGCTGCAGGTGGAGCGGCCCAACAGGGCTGCTCAGGCCGCCAGTGGCAGACCGCCACTTCCTTCTCCCTCGGGACCTTTCAGGGGAGTGGCTGAGCACCTACTGTTGTGCCGCCAGGGGTCCTCGGGCCTGGCTGCCATCAGGTCAGTTCTGACTCAGAGTGGCCCCGTGTTCTAGCGTGCAGAAACGCTCCAAGCATGGTGGGGGGTGAGATATGACACGCCACTGGGCTACACCCTGGCAGGGACCGCATTGTGTGGGATTCAAGGTCAAGATCTCTGGGGAGTTTCAGGTTGCCGGGCCAGTCTTTGGCAGCACACATCAGGTCTCAACCACAGAGGAAGGAAAGAGGAGGCAGACAGACAGACACACTGGCCTATCAGGAGATGCCCACCAGCGATGAGGTCCTCAGAGATGTACACTGGACTCTTGACGCCGAGCCGAGAGGCAGGTCCTGAGCTGTGCTTTTGAATCTTCGGTTTCTATAAAGCAGCCAAGTGGATCTTTGAAAAATCCGATCCTACTTTTTCCCTTAGGGGTTTCTGATCACGCTAAGAAGACACACTCTGGCCTCTTCCTGCCTGCCTGCCATGCTACCAGCCTCTGCTCACTCTTCAACCGGCCCGGGAGGACGGCACGCCCAGTGCGCGAGTCAAACACGCAAGGACACAAGTTGTATGAGTTCCACCATTATCAACTGTCAAGAAGCAGTCACTGATGGCTCCCAGGGGTGGGAGAAGGGAGAGGGAGGGGGAGTCACAGGCTAGAGGTGAGAAGGGGGGTAGGAAAATGTGATGGAAGCAGGGGAGACACTGGGAGGTCTGCAGGAGTCAAAGGCAACAGAAGCCAAGACTGTTACAGACACAGTTCTGCAGCAGCGAGGCCTGCGAGCAGATGCTTAGACAGACAGCAGACTGAACAGGTAGGAGACGGACAGTGAGAGCGACCCCATGAGTCTATTACATCTGTCAGGAGGTGGGTGGGAAAGGGGGGAAACTCTCACCCTCTGAGCCCCTGGTAATAATCCCATGGGGAAAGGGGCTTTCTTTGATGGCAACGAGGGATCTTAGCCTAAGGGTGAATCTTGAGTCATCTGTGTGCACAGACAAAAGGAGCAGGTGAAACCAGGGATTTCTGAAGGGAGCTGGGGGAAGGTAAACTGCAGGAGGAAAGGACAGCCCCCAGGCACAGAGAACTCCTCTTCCTCATTCCTCTAGGAACTTCCGCTTTATAAGAGAGCTGGCACACGGCTGTGCTGTTGCTAGGATAAATGCTAGGATAAAAGGAGTGAGGCTGAAGCAGCTGCGCAGGACGCCCGGTGCTGCTCACACCAGCCCAGGTCATTCCTCCACAGGCAGAGGAAGGCTCTCGTCACATCCACACCTCAGCTGGTTCATGTAAGAGTGCTAATCCATTTTTTCAATGGGGATTAACTGTCTGTTGAATTTGTGAGATTGGCCTTCCGATTTTTACAGGTTTGTGTTTACACGTGTATATACCAAACTAAACAGAAACGACAAAGAACCCGCTGCTGTGGAGGTGATGCCAACTCATGGCGACCTTACTGTAGGACAGGTACAGCCACCCCTGTGAGCTTCGGAGACTGTCACGGCTCCTTGCTCTCCTGAGTGGTTTCGAACTGCTGACCTTGCCGTTCACAGTGCGATTTGTAGCTGCTATGCTACTTAGGGATAAGAAGGCTGGTAAGCTCTAGACCAGATAAGCCTCTAAAGGGAGTTAAAGACAGAAGCATTGTCCCCCACCGGCTCCTTACTCGCTGACTTGTAGGTCCTGCTCGTCGGAAGAGTCATCTTCTCCCAGGATGTTTTCGGAATCGGGCTTCCTGATGAGAAAGAAAAGAACGGTCCCCACAAGGCTAATCACTGTCAAGGCAATAAACACTGTTCTCCGGTCACTCTCTGGGGGGAGAAAAAGAAGAAGACAGTAGCTAGCATCGGCTGTCCGCGTAATTCCAGAACCAGTGCTGTGTCCAGTGGTGGCTGACTGGCCGGCACAGTCTACCCAGCTAGATTTCTGCTTTAGGGCAGGGAAGTACATGGGAGGCTCTGCTTCTGTCTGTCTGACACTCATGCTCAGAAGAGAACCGAACCTCCTTCTCTTACATCCAAGATGTGGGCACATGCGTCTGTTCTGAGCTCAGAGGTCTTCTGGCCACTGGCTGGAACACATGCACCTGTAACACCTCCTCCCAGGCCCTGGGATGCCCGGGAAACACAGTCATCAGCCACCCCCCACCCCACCCCAAGGCTCCTATCTAATCCAGGCTAGCATTGGGGGGAACTTAAAGTAGGCGCCGGCCGAGGGCCGCTGGGACAATGTTTGAGTCCTTGTAGACCTGGGCTTGTCGCTGTGGCCACGTCCAGGTAAAGGGAGCACAGCACAGTGGCTGTGAGGACGGCACAGGGCCGGCAGTGCTCGGTTCTGCTGGACATGGGCCCCCCAACGACGAGCTGAGATTACACTTGTGTGTGAGAATGCTGGAGTACGTAAGTATGGGAGTGAAACACACCTGATATCTGTGTTTTTCCTTGCCACGCAAAATATATGTAGAGGTTTCCAAAGAACAGGCTGGGGAGGAAGAAGGAAGAGGGCACGTTAGGAGATTGTTCTCATCCTGGTGGGTTTTCCAGCGATTTCCAACACTGGTTACAAAGAGAGCGAGAAAAGTCCTTTTAAAGTCTCTGGCTGCCCTAGGTTACTGGGCAGTAGCAAGCCTGCTCAGTTGCTCTCCAAGAAACTGACCAGAGAGCGTGTCGGCTCCCTCTGTAGGACTGTCATCTGATGTGCAGAGGAGGCTGGACTCACTGGGAAACGTGCTTAGACTACTTTTGAAATAATCAGAGAAAGATTCCTGAATAAAAAAAAAAAAAAATCTATGAAAAAAACAAGAAGCTCACCCTGGATGTTACTTTCTGCATCTCTGCATCAGATATCTGTCTTAACAAACTTCCCGAGGGGAGGAATCTTCCACTACGTTTTGCTCCCCGTCCCACTCCCCAAGGGATGCTGAGGGAGCAGCTGTGGGGGCCTGCCTTCACCAGCCATCAGTCCGGGCAGGAGCCCTGAAGGGAAACCCTCAGGACAGACTTCCGGAAATGCCAGCAGTCCTGAGCACACCGGCTGTGGCTGGTGTTTAACCAGGAAACCTGCGCTCTGTGGCATCCTTCGGCATGGACCATGTCATCAGTCTTTCTTTTGAAGTGGAGTATATTTGTGAATCTCGCTATCAGGCAGCAAGAAGGGCCCTGCTGGCCTAGTGGGTTACGTACTGGTCTGCTAAGTGTGAGGTGAGCAGTTTGAAACCTCCAGCTGCTCCGAGGGGGGGAAGCTTTCAACCACAGGGCAGGTCTTCTGGGTCCTACAGCGCCACCATGATTCGGAACCAACTGGTCGACAGTGATTTCTCTTTTCTTGTAATGGTATCAGGTAGCCAAGGAGCCCAGGCGACACAGTGCTTAAGTGCTTGGCTGCCGTCCAAAGGTCAGCAGTTCAACCCTACCAGTCGCTCCCTAAGAGAAGCACGTGGCTGTCTGCAAAGATGACAGCCCTAGAGCCCTGTGGGGCTGCCCTTCCGGGTCTACAGGACTGCCCCATGAGTCAGAGGTGGTGGGTTTCCCAGTTTACCAGGTAGTACTGGCGAGATAATGATGGTCTAATCAGACAGGTCACTATCTTTTAGCCCTCTGTCCTGTTTCCTCATATACAGAGCAACCCTAATGTCAACTAACCACACGGGGCTGTTGTAGAGATCATGCATGATTAAGTGGAACATGCTGTCTCTGAAACGTGTTGCTGCTGCATGCCGTTTCTGACTCACAGTGGCTGCGTGTGGTAGAGCAGAAGGCCCCAGAGCGTCTCAGGATAGAGGGCCACATCTTTCCCCAGTGTTTGGCTGGGGGCTCGAACCGTTGACAGTCAAGCACTTAATCCCTGTGCCACCAGGGCTCCTTGTGCATTTTAAGGGACTCCGTAAACTTGGGATCTACAGCATGTGCAGCAAGGAACTAAAGTCATACAACGCCGAGGGTCTGAACGTGTCATGGTACAGAGACCCAGACACTTGCGTGAACACTCTCTCTCTCTCCTCTCCTCTCCCAGGATAATTACCTCGACTGTAGGAGTGCCCAGAAGATTCCACTGTTCCTCCCAATAGTGTGCTCATCGGAATTGATGGTCAGGCAGTTTCCTTGTGCGGTCCAAAGTACTAGAATTCAAACCAAAATCCAAGTAAGGAGACGACGGGTTTGCTGAACTAAACACAGAAACGATGCTCTCAGACAACCCCAGGGTTTAAACAGGAAGGACGGTTTGAGGGACAAGAACCCGCGTGCTTACCCGCAGCTGCGATTCCAATGAAGACCGAGGCCGTGTAGAAGGACCACGGGAAAGGCTGGATAAAAACGGCAATGTACATGCTAAAATGTAACAGGTCAACGCATTACGGTCACACAGTGCCTGCAACGGAGGCCAGGGCGGCCGGCTAGGAATTACCTCTGAGGGCTCTTTTCTTCTGAGGGGCCCTGCAAAGGACCCCTTCCGGTTTTGAAAATAAGGGACACACACAACCTGCCAGTGTCACCACCTGCCATCCCACCTACCATTTCAAACGTGTGCAACAGGACACTGCCTGACAAGTTGCCAGGGGCCGAGCATGTGATCAGGCTGGGCACGGCTCTAGAGCCCCCAGAGGAAAGGTGCATTACTGCATGCGCTTGAATAGAACAATGTTCTTAAAGTGACGTGACTTCACCTGGCACGGATGTGGAGAACTAGCTTCCCACCAGCATGCACCCATCAACTTTAAAGTGTGGCATTCCTCAGCAGGCCGCTCGGACCTCACTACTCTATCTCGTCCCACCCACCAGTTATTACGAGTCTAATCCCCAACCCATCGACACATTCCAGTTACGATGAACCACTCTTTTGGACACTGATTGTGCGTGACTTTACGGCATTAAACACTGCCTGCCCGCGCGCCAGGGCTGTACGTGAATGGATACATTGGACGCTTAAGAGATGGCAAAAAGTAAGGGTTTCTGGGGGGGTGAGGGGGAGGGAGGGGACAGATATCAAGGAGTTGAAGAAGAAAAACGTTTTGAAACTGATTGTGGTTGCAACTGTACAACACTGCTTGATGTGACTGAGCTATGAATGTTATGATATCTGTAAGAGCTCCCTATAAAATGATTTAAAACAAAAACTGGCTGTAAGCTTATTTATATGTAATGTACCCCACTCCCGGAGACAAATGAAGATCAGATTCATAAAGACCATGGCAATAAGAAGCAGTAAGAGTGAAAATAACTAACTAAAATAAAATGAAGCCGCATCTTTGCCTTGCATCAGCTGGCGTGTGTCAGAATGGGCCGTCGTAAGCCAGGACTGCTGCACTCGATGCTCGATAGGGCACGCGACCCACGGAGACGAGGGGGAGAAAGCACGGCCACTTACCTGTAAAACAAGCCGCTGGCAAACATGGAGAGCTGAGGTCCTACAATGGCCACCACGGAGGGCGTGATCAAATTTGAAGCAGAGAACACTCCATAGATGATCGCCATACTGCAAACAGGGCACACAAGGGGGCTCAGGCTTCTTCGGAGCCTGTCTGTACGTTTGGTCACAATTCATCGCAACGTGTTGTTAGACTGAGGACCAGGGTACACTTTTCATTTCACAACACAGTGAAGCCCCGCCGGAAGTTTTTTAGGTGAAGACAAAGGGAGATCAGCGCCCCGTCAGTGAGGCAAAGGCAGGCATGGAGGCAGTATGAACGAGGTGAAGCTGTCCTGCACACAACCCTGCGGAATTACAATAAGCAAGAACCTACATGTGCACGCACAGACAGACGTGCAAGCTGAGTAGATCTGAGTAGGGGAAGCGACGAGGTCCAACACCATTAAGGGGGCTTGGCAGTGGGTACTTGTAAGTATCCGTGGGTACAGGAGGGGAAAAGTCTTCGCCCAAACCAAACATTGACAGAGTAAGTCACCGGGCTTAGGAGCACAGTCTCCGGAGACAGCTAAGCCAAATGGCACCAGACGGCTCACCCAGAGAATGCCGAGCGCCAGCTGCTGTGCTGAGCAGCGAGCGGGTCCTAGAACCTAGTGAGTGCGGTCTACGAGGCAACTATTGGTCTCAGCCTTTTCTGGAGGAAGAATGACGAAAACCAGACTCAAGGCAACAGGGGAGCCCAACGGGCCACGAGAACCTCCACGACCCTGAGGCCACCTCCCCCGTCATTGGTCAACCTGATTTCAGACACAAGGTTCTGGGCGGAATGGGAAAAAAACAAACCATACCACGTAGATCAGTACTCACAATCCTATCAGACTTACTACTGGTCTGATAGAGACTAGAGGGACCCGTGACCATGGCCTCACAGCCAGAGGGGAGACAGGCCAATCAAGTAAACAACACTTTGGAGGCAATAATCCTGAGTATCCACCGGATGTGACAAAAAAGGGGCACTGTCTGCCCAAAAGCAAAACTCCGGAAGCAGGAAGGGGCAGGAGAGGGCACATGGCTGAGAGACGGCCAGGGAAGGCCGGATGAGTGTTGTTCCACTGAGGGCATGGCAGCGGGTGGGATGAAACACAGGCATAGAGAGTTCATTGGCTCAGTGTGCTCAGCCAAAGCGCGCGCGTACACACGAGTCTGTGTGCCTGAGGAGTGGTGGCGGCTGCTAGGTGCCTTCTGGCCGGCCCCGCCTCACAGGGAACCCTGTGCACACGAGAACACAAGCCTGCCCGCTCCTGCGCCTTCTTCATGGTAGTCATATGTGAGCCCACTGTTGCAGCCACTGTTGTCAATCCATTTTGTCCAGGGGTTCCTCTTTTCTGGGGCCCCTCTATCTGCCAACCAGATGTCCTTCTCCAGGGACTGGTCTTCTTCCTGACAACATGGTCCAAAGTCTGCATCCGTGAAGATCAGTCTTGGAAACTCTATGGGGCAGCTCAACTCTGTCATATTACGGGTTGAGTCGTGGATATCCCATGGACAAGCAGATGGACCCTAGTTCCGATCCAAGAACGGTTAGTTCTGAGAACAGGACCCTGCTGGATACTCACCTTCATGAAATGATCGCTGAAGATAGCGGTGCTACAGCGAAGTGTGGTGAAGGAGGCAGATGGTGCCTGGCTATCAGCTGGAAGTGTCTGGGGTCATGAAGGTTTGTATTCAAATAAGCAGCCATCTAGTGAGGAGCCAACTAAGTTCACATGGAAGCAGCACACCAGCTTGTGTGCTCCAATGATGACAATAACAAAATTCAAACATGACAAAGGGAAAAGTATCAGAGCTAAAATTATGGTCACCCAAATTGGCAGAGTAACTGGTTAGATTAAGCCGATGGCAAAGCACGACTAGCCACAGGCAAGGGTCTCGAACAGCCTTACTATCAGACAGAAATCATTGTAATCTTGATTCTACGGGATCAAACATGATACTTGGTCAGCTGACCTCCCTACTGACCCAACCTCAATCTGTTCTGGGGGCAAATAATCTCCTGTGGGTTCCGTGGCAAACATTTCTTCCCTGGCTTTTTAAGTATTGAGGCTGGTCTTTTCTTTCTTATGCATTATTTGTATTTTCATCTTTATATTATTCTTTTGCTCTTACTTTACTTTTATTTTGTTTTTTACTGTGTCTATTGGGTGTCCCAGTTTGTGAAGCACAGAAGGAGTGAATGCATAGAGGTAATTACTAGTGCAAGGGTTTATAGGGGATGTAGGGTCGGGGTGAAAGATAGGGAGAGCGAGGGGATTTGGGGAGTAAACAATGAAGGTGAGAGGGGAGAGAGCACTAGAACTGCATGTGAGTACACAACTATAGTAAAAATTGTGGTAATTATCATACAATTCTTATTGATATGATTGAATGACTGAACTACTGAATTATATAACAGATATGTATTTTTTAAAAACAGTTACAGTCTCAGAAACCCATAGGGGCAGTTCTACCCTGTCCTATAGGGTCACTATGATTCAGGATTAACCCGCATTTTCTGTTTCAACCCTAACAGCCCCATGAAGGAGCTATTGCTATCATTCTCACTGTACAGGAAAGAAACCTGAGACACAGAAGGGTTAAGTACCGTGCCTGCTGGTCTAGCTAGTGCTACTGGTGGAGCTAGGATTCCGACACTGGCCACCTGACTCCAGAGCCTCTGGTCTGCCAATCCGCTCTGCAAAGATAGCCTGACTCCTGGCAGCAGGAAGAAACGTCTACTATAAATAACAAACACCCAGCTAGAAACTGGCTAAACCAGAATTTAGTTAACTCAAACCTGATCTGCTCACCAAAATATTTTCAAGTAACGAGTCAGCCTTGGTACATATATCTTAAAGCAAATGGTATGAAATCCGTGTCAAGGATCCTGAAGTCTTGGTGGCACAGTGGTTGTGCATTGGGCTGCTAACCAAAAGGTCAGCAGTTCAAACACCAGTAGCTCCTGCCAAGAGCTCGTCTTGGAAACCCACAGGGGCAGTTCTTTGGGGTTGTTGTGAGTTGGAATTGACTTGATGGCAGGGAGTCTGGCTTTTTTAATTGTTTATAAAAGGAGCCCTGGTAGCAGAGGTTAAACACTCAGCTACTGAGCAAAAAGGTAAGTGGTTTGAAACCACCAGCCCTCTGAGGGAGAAACATGTGGCAGTGTGTGTAAAGACGAATGGAGGCACAGGGTGAGTGAGAGGTAAACTGAGGCACAAAGACAGCTGACAGGACAAAGGGAGAGCAGGAACAGAAATAGCTTTATTGGGGGGGGAGCTCCTGGGCGAAGCCCCATGGTCTAGCACAGGGGTCCTCAGACTTTTTAAACAGGGGGCCAGTTCACTGTCCCTCAGACCCGTTGGAGGGCCAGACTATAGTTTTTAAAAAAAACTATGAACAAATTCCTATGCACACTGCACATAGCTTATTTTCAAGTAAAAAACAAATGGAGCAAAAACACCCAGCGGGCCGAATCAATGTTCTTGGCGGGGCCGTGGTTTGAGGACGCCTGGTCTAGCAAGTAGCCCAGGGGAATCAGGGGCTCTGTGCAGGGGCCCAGGGCTTTAAAGGGAAGCAGGGAGAGGGAGGTCCATGCTGCAGGGGAAGGTTTATGACCCAAGATGTCAGCGGTAAGGGTTATGGCCCAGGATGCAGTTTATCAGCTCTGGCAAGTAGAGTGTCTGGTTATTGGGGAGTCAGGCATCCCTGGCGCCGTTTCTTGGTCTCCTCATTGCAGGGGGCAACTGCTGACCTTTGGGGACTTGCAGGGAAGTGGGACCCTGGCCTGCCTCAGCTTAGCCCAATCAGTCTGCGCTCATAAAGATTCACTGCACTGGGGGAAAATGAGGAGCTGATATCAAGGGCTCAAGTAGAAAGCAAATGTTTTGAGAATGATGATGGCAACAAATGTACAAATGTGCTGGACACAATGGATGGATTGTGATTATAGTTGTACGAGCCCCCAATAAAATGATTTTTAAAAAAAGATTCACTGCATTGGAGCTGACAGTAAATAAGAAGCCAAAACAAACCTATAGTAAATCATTCTCTGGCTTTTATGAATCTTTCTGTGTCATCGGTCTTTAGAATATACAGGAAGGCAACCCCAAACCCACTGCCCTTGAGTTGATTTCAACTTGCAGGGCTCCCACAGAGGCTTTCCAAGCTATAAATATTCCGGGGAACAGACAGCCTCATCTTTCTCCCCCTGGAGAGGCTGGTGGGTTTGAATTGCGACACCTTGCAATTAGCACTTCAACGCTGACCTAACAGACACCCGGGCTCCTCACACACGCAAGCACAGCACTATAAAGAGTCGCCATCACTAGTATCACTAGTAATTTTAAACAAATGACATCATAACATCCTTTTACTCTAAGACAAGGAGCACAGCCGCCTGTCTTGGACACAGTACAGCCACAATGCTTCTTTGAGGGGAGGGTACAGAGCCTCTGGACATTTGTTAGAAGAGACCAGTCCTTGGAGAAGGACATCATGTTTGGAAAAGCAGCAGGGCTGAGAGAAAGAGGAAGGCCTTTGACAAGATGGAAGGACACAGTGGCTGCAGCCCTGGGCTCAGACAGAACAAAGGTAGGGTGGTGCAAGTGTGGGCAGTAGTTTTCTGTTGAACATGCGCTGCTGTGAGCCCAAGGCACCTGACCACAGTGCCTATTAGTCAAAGATCAGTAGTTCCCAGCCAGCAGCAGCTCCTGGGGGGACACATGTGGTGCGCAGTTTGACTCTATCCTACAGGGTTGCTAGGAGCAAGATGGGGCTTTCTGCTCCTGTACAGAGTTAACAGTCTTGGGAATCCCCCCGTGCTACAGGGCTGGAGTCAACATCGACTGGATGGCAGGGAGGTTAGTTCCGGTTTGGCATAAGGTCGCTGTGAGTACAAATCAATTAGTTGTCAATGGCTCTTTGACTTTATTCCCCGACATTACACGCAGGGTCAGGCTCCAGATAACCACTTGATACCAAGGAAGAGATCAAGGGGGATGGGTTGGTTGCAGCAGTTCAATATCCAACCAGAAGGAAACGCAAAGGTGTAAAGAGTTCGTGGAAAAATTCCATGATCATTCAAGTCAATGTTTCCACAACCTCGGTGAAGGCCCCTCATGTCTCGTGTTACATTCCCAGCCCTGCTCATAATGCAAGGGCGCCTTGGGAGGGTCTCTGTGTTTCATTTTCACCCTCTGTTGACTAACCCAGGGAAGTGAACACTCTACAAGTTCTAAAAGCTCTCCCAGACAGCGTATTAGTTGGCACGGAAATTAAAAAACGGGAAGCCTGTTTATCGGAATTATCGGAAATGTAGAAATCAGGGCAATGCTCTGGTGCTTATTAAATGTGGGGCCCTGTGCCATGCTCTTTACTCAAGTGCCCCGAGCAGGGTACATGGGCTCTCAGACCAGGTAGCAACAGAGCTGTGGAGCCAGGGCTTTAAACCTAAACCCACAAGAAACCTCCAGCTCATAACCGTTCATCTAGCATATCCTGCTCAAGAGTCGACATACAGACCAGGAAAAAAGCCCTCGCTACTCATTCAATCATCAACTCAACCCACACTTGTCACTGCCAGCGGCTGATGGGACCACCACAGTGGTGTATGTGAAGTCAAACGGGCGGAAGGCACAATACCTGGTGTATCCACTGCCGTGGAAATCCGTGCTGTTTAAGCTTCTGATGACAGTTTGCTGTGGGGGAGACAGAGCTCATCAGCGACAACGTGTATGCGATCTCTTGCCCCACTGAAGCGTTTCCGGGTGCTCAAAGACAGAGAAGAACGTCAAAGTTCATGGGTGGGCAATGAAACCCCTGGCTTAAGCATGCTGAAAGATGGTCTGGGGGGCAGAGTGGGGGCAGCGGGCTCAGACTGCAGCACTGGAGGCAGTGAGCAGAGGTGGGAGGCCATCGGAACAGCACCAACCGGCTTTTGGGTTTTATCTCCCTAGCCACCCAAATACCACTGTTGAACATAATGCAGACAGAAAACAGCCAGGCGACATCCATCCCCAAACCAAATCAGAAAAACGAACAGTCACGTTTGACGGTCAGACATTCAGAGGAAAGGTCCGACCGACACACTAACTCCAAGATAAAGGATTCAAAACAAACAAGGAAAACAGATCGGTGGGGAAATCAAAGGAGGGCAGTCACGTAAAATGAAAGCTTAGTATCATTTCTGGAAAGCATTAGGCTAAGCTCTTCAAAGGGCAGGGCGGATTTCAACTCACCGCCACATTCCCGCAAGTTTGGAAGGCGGTGAACATGAACATAAAGGCAACTCCTAAAATAATGATATTGAAAAGCTTTTTGGACTCCGGGGACATGGTGGCTGGCTCTTCTGGAGGGCAGCACCGCGGGCAGTCGGACAATCTTGAAAGGAGCGAGGCGGAGACGAGAAAGCAGACAGATCCGGGCGCGGAGAAGCCAAGCTGCCAACTGCCCCTTCTGGGCTCAGGATCGCGGGCGCAGGCTGACGCTGTCCCCACGGGCAGAGCTAGGGCATTCCTAGCGCAGGAGCCGAGGACAGACGAGCCGCGCCCGAGAATGTCACCGCTCCTGATGGAGGGGCCCGCGACGGGATCAAGGGGGACACCAGAGCTAGCATCGGCCAGCGCGGCGCCGCCTGCTGGGCCCTGAGTCACCAGTATCAGGCGACCGGTCACCTGACGGCGGCCGCTCGGCCTGCTGGGAAATGTAGTCCCGGCGGGTCGGGGCCAGGCGGGCGCGTGGTGATGGCGTCGGCGCCCCCGAGGTACGGCGCGGAAACAAGCCTGTGGTCCCAGCAAGTGTCCAGAAGAGGGAAGTTAGGGACGAGGAATCCGGAGTTGAGAGGGGGGAGGGGGGAGGACCCGGATG